CCCTCCCTCCCTCCCTCCCTCGCTTGCTCAGGTGGATGCGATCCGAGTCGTGTGGTCTGAGAACGAGACTGCGCCTCCCTCCCCGCAGGAGGAGAAGGACAGGGCGTGGTTTAGTGACCATAAACCCGTCTACTACGATACGTATGCCACCACGAGTTTGAATAACCGTTTCGTGCCCCCGGCGGGCAAAAAAGGCCGGGACAACGGTAGGTGAACGTTTGCGATGCAGAGTCTGGGCGATGGGTGCCATGAATTTTGGAAGGAAGGTCTCGTGTGAGAGTTGTTATCGTGCACGATGGAGGATGTTTGGGATGGCTTCTCGGGCTGACGGCTTTCGTTGGAGGGTGTCTTCTATCCATGCCCTCCTTCCCGTCTCCATGCTTTTGTATCGTTACCTTCTGCGTAGCGCTTGACTTCTACTCGTTCGAGGTAAACTTAATTTCCTTCCTAACACCACACTTATCTTTATTTTCCTTCCCCCCCCTCCTGTCCCCTCCCTCCTAACCCATCCTCAGGCTTGGCCACCGACGCCGTCTTCGCCGTGGACGACGACATCCGGGTACCCTGCTCGGACCTGGAGTTTGCCTTTGGCGTCTGGAAGGCCGCCGATCAATCGTTGGTGGGCTTCATGCCGCGGGTCCACACTGTGAATCCCTTGGCGTTGCGGGCGGTGGCGGAGAAGGAAGGGCTCAGGGAAAAACGCCGGGTGGAGAGGCGACGACGGAACGGCCGGAAAAAGAAAATAAGAGGGGGGGAGATGGAAGAGGCAGGGACGGGGGAGGAGGAGGAGGGGATGGAGATGGACAGCGAAGACGTTGGGGCGATGCCCCCTCTCTTTCGATACAATGGGTGGTGGAAAGTGTGGTGGGAAGGCGAATATTCCCTGATTCTGACCAAGGCAGCGTTTTTGCACCGGGACTTCCTCCGGGCGTACACGGAAGATATGCCGGCGGCGATTCGGAATTACGTGGACGAGAACCGGAATTGCGAGGACATTGCCATGCAATTCTTAGCTGCGAATATGACGGGAAAACCACCCATTTTTGTCCGAGGAAGACTGACGGATTTGGGCGTCTTCAATGGTAGGGCATTGGAGAAGTCGGAGGTGCATGCAGGACTAGGGGCTCCCTGTCTCTGGATGGTGTGTGGGTGGGCGTCTCCCTGAGAAGTGGACCCTATGCCCCCCTTCGTTATCTTGCTTCGCTCAAAAATGTGTTTGTCGGTCGTGGTGCCTATCATCCACTTGTCGTGTCCAGAAGCGTTGCGCTTGTTCACGCCCCCGGGATGCATCTAGAGAGGGCTGGCGGTTGCCCGGCGTCGATGTGTGGGCAGGTGGCTCACCTGCGTCTCTCCCTCCCTTCCTCCTTCCCTTCCTCCTTCCCGCCCTCCTTGCAGGCATCTCCACCAAGAGTTGGACGCAGCTCGGGCACATGAAGAGCCGAGGGCAGTGTCTGAACGACTTTGTCGGTCTGTACGGCGGTCGCATGCCTTTGGTTATGGGA